TTGCGAATTCAAGGCCAGCCTGGGCTACCAAGAGAGCTCAAGGCCAGCCTGAACTGCACAGTGAGACCCTGTCTCAAAAAGACAAAAAAAAAAAAAAAAAAAAGTTGCCCAGACTGGCCTTGAACTTGTGATCTTCCTGCCTCAGCTTTCCAGAGTGTTGGGATTACAGGTGTGCACTACTGTGCCGACCTCAAATTTTTAAACTTTTTTATGATGTGCAGTAAACACCCAGGAAAGGGACCCATCATTAATGTGCAGTGTGATGAATTTGAGGCTCAACACAACCACGTGACCAACACCCACACGGGAAGGTGGACCATCACGCCGGAACCCCTAAACCCCGCTACGGCAAGGTGTGGGGCACACAGCTGTAATTCCAGCACTAAGGGGTCTGAGATAGGAGAATCACCGTATGTTTGAGGCCAGCCTGGACTACACAGTGAGGCCCTGACTCAAAAACAAATGAACCAACCAAGCAAACAAACAAAAACAACCCTGCTGAGTCCTGTGGTTTTTTTTTGAGACAGGGTCTCACTGCAGTTTGGCTGGCCTCAAGCTCACTGTGCAGCCCAGGCTGGCCTCGAATTCACAGCGATCCTCCTGCCTCAGGCTCCTGAGTGCTGGGATCACAGGTGTGCGCAGCACGCCCAGCGAGGGCCTGCTTCTGTCACTAGTCCTCATCCCTCCTCCCGTACCCCAAGGTTACCACCGTCCTTATGGCACAAATCAGCTGTGCCAGTACAGGGGATGAAACTCAGGGTCTTTGCACTGAGCGGAATCCCCAGACCTTTTTTTTTGGATTTTCTCTGGTACCGGGAACTGAACTCACGACCTTGCGCTTGCCAGGCAGGCACTTTTGCCGCTGAGCTAAATCCCCAGCCCCTCCCCAGACCTTTTTATATTTTATTCTGAGATAGGGTCTCACCAAACTGCCCAGGCAGGACTCAAGCTGGTGATCTTCCTGCCTCAGCCTCCCAAGGTGTGGGGATTACAGGTGTGCCTCCCTGTGCCTGGCTTAGCGGTGCCTGTGTGTGTGGTTTAAAGGGAATCACGGACCATTTACTGTCTTATGCCCAGCGTGATCATCAGTGAGACGCAGACACGTTCCTGCGTGTCGCTGAGGGCCGCTTGCTCTCGCTGCCAGGCAGCAGTCGCTCGTGTGGGTAAGAAGCCGCCCCAGTGCACCGACACACCAAGCGAGCAGGGCTGGCCTGTGCGGGGCTTCCCTGTCCGTGCACAGCCTTCATGGTCACGAGCGTGCAGTTCTCATGGTTCCGCACCGGGCAGCGGGGCACCGGCCCCTCCTGTGTGTTTAGCTTTAGCCCGCGGTGCCACACTGGCGCTGCTGCCTGCCTGGGAGGAGCGTTCGTTCCAACTGCACCGAACCCTCACCAGCGTTGGGAAGGGTCAGGGTTTCCCTCAGGCACTGTGGCCGACTGGAAAGGCGGCTCCCTGTGGTTCTAACGCGCCTTCCCCTAACTAGAAATGGCGTGCTGGGGGTGGAGCCCAGGGTCTCACGCGCGCCAGGCGAGCGCTCGCCCTGAGCCAGATGCCAGCCCCATGGAAGGCGGCGGCATCTTCTCCTCCGTCCTCCCTCCCTCCGCCCTCCTTCGCTCTCTTCTTGCAATCCTGGGATGGACCCCGGGGCCTTCGCACTGAGCTGTATCTCCAGCCCTTTTAGTTTTCATTTTGAGGCAGGGTTTCACTAAACATCTTCAGTTTCCCAGGCCGGGCTTAAATTTGGGATTCTCTTGCCTCAGCCTCCCAGGGCGCTGGGATGACAGGCGTGCACCGCCTGCCGAGCCCCGCACACACTCTCCCCCTGCACTACGCCCCTGGCCCGCTAAGGTGATGCTTTCGAAGAGCTGAGAGCAGTGGTTCTAACCGGAAGTGATTTTGGCCCCCAGGTGACATCTGACTTTGCCAAGTGCAGCCTGCTTTGGTTTTGGTTTCATTTTTTTTTTTTTTTGTGGTGCCGGGGATGGAACCTGGGGCCTTGTGCATTCATGGCAGGCGCTCCCCACTGAGCCGCACCCCCATTTTTGGTTATCACAGATGGAAGAGATGCACAGCATGGAGCTGCTGGGGGCCAGGGATGTTGTTCTGTATCCTCAGGGCCAGGGTCCCACACCGCTGAGAACTGCTGGCCACAGGCCAAGGCGGGAAGCCCTGGCGGGGGACAGTGCCCAGTGCACTGGGGGTGTCACTGGAGTCAGGGGACACTCACCGATCACCTCCAGGCTCTGCTTGGTGTGCTTGGCGTAGATGTTGTACAGCTGTTTCTTTAGCTTCATGATCTCTTCTGCCTGGATGGCGATGTCTGTGGCTTGGCCCTGAGGGGGGTCCAAGGGGAGATAGATGGTGAAGGCCGGAATGGAGGCAGCCCCGTGGGGCTTGGCGTGGTTTTTGGGCCCCCCACATTCTGCTTACTCTTAGGCACTACCAGGAAAGCTCCCTGACCATGCTGACTACTTTCTTATAATCTTGTTTTCTTTTTGCTGCTGTGGGTAGAACCCATGGCTTCATGAATCCTAAGCAAGTGCTCTACCACTGAGCTGCACGCCTCATCTTTTTTTGTTATTAACTGTATTTTTTATTTTATTTTATTTTTTTTTGCTGTTTTGTTTCTTGAGACAGAGTCTCACTATGTAGCCCAGGCTGGCTTTGAACTCACAGTGATCTTCCTGCCTCAACTTCCCAAGTGCTAGGATTGCAGGGGAATGTGCCACCATGCCTGGAAATATATACAGTGATCCCTCACCTATTGCAGGAGTTACGTTCCAGAGACCCCCACAATAGGTGAAAATCCGAGAAGTAGTGGTATTGTATTTATTTTATTATTTATATATATTTTAAGGCACAGTGCAGGAGAGCAAACAGACCAGTGCTATGGTCACTGAACCAATCAGCGCCCAGGATACAGAGCACAGTGCTGTGGTTGGTCACCTTCCACTCCATCAGCCAATAGCGTGCCGTGTACAATCTCACGCGGGCGAACTTGTGCAAGCGGAAGTGGCGCACTG